CTAACTTTCTGAAGGGATGAGCTCAGCAGATAAGGATTAATAAGTTTATCTTTGAGTAAGTGCATATAACGCACAAGTCCAAGCGTCAGGACAAAATGAACTTACACCTCTATAGACATATTAATCCATTAACATTGCAAAAGACTTTGATGCACATTTGGGAATTGCGTTGCATTGATTTTATTGTCATCTTTTTGCACAAATAGTAAATAGGGTAACATTTAAGGAACAGTGTAATTATTCCCAAAAAGCAAGACATCAACGTAAAGTTTATTGTTGTAGACCCGACATTTTGACAGGAATACTGTAATATCCCAGAGGTGTCACTAGGTTACTGAAAAGGTTAAAAATTGGTGCATTGTGTCGGAGAAGAAAGGCAGTAACAACAAACAGCATTCAAAAAATCACAGGCACTTCTGTAAGAAAGTGGAAATGTGTCATGTAACAACACACAGCTTCTGTAAGTGGATTGCTGCACCGGGGAAGAAAGTGAAACACACCTAATGAAAATGCTTCCTCCACTGCCAGCATTTCAAGGCTCACTCTCATTATTGAGGTTGCAAAAACAACTTTCCTCTCAGGTTCCTCCTTTTATTGTATCCGAACCCCACACATGCTCTATTGTGAAGTTTGAGAGGGCTGTGCCTGAAAATTTAATTTCTCTTCTCTGGTAGTCATGGGAGAAAATTCCCACTCAAGACTTTATTTGCCAAACTCTGCTGTTTTTTCCTTACTAGCCCTGTATCCTAAATCAAGAAGACAACGGTATTTTTTACAGAGTGCTATTTGACAAGGAGAAAAGTATTTTTTGTCTTGTGTTATAGTTGACCAGTGGAGCAGCATTCATTAGAATCTGAATGAGAAGAGAGAAGGGGATATATGGCAATTTATGGTATGTAACCAAGAGAAACATGTTTTATGTTTAAGTATATTGTTTAGCATTCTAGAAGACTAGGAAAGAAGCACATATGTCCCCTTGTATACTGAATATAGTATGTCATTGAGTCAGGATTAAAATGTATTTACAGTGACATTTTGAGCATTGTACAATGTCAAGAACTGTAGAGTTTGATTTCTTTTTCTAAGCAAATTTATTTCCATTATTAGCTCTCAAATCCTAGTTCTGACTTTGAACATTTTCTTAGCATTTCCAATAGTTTTTTCAAGCCACTCAGCTAGATGTGTAATTGTGTTTACTTCAAGAAGGAAATAGGAAGTGTAGAAAATATCTGTCATTGAGGCATCAGTATGGTTTGAATTTGGGAACCTAAACACAACTCTTCAATGCTTGTTTGTGCCAAGGGAGGAAGTCTGCTACCTGGCAGCAGTGACTTTTACCCTACACTTAGATTTGCCCTTTCATGTGCTGCACAACATATTTTACAAGTATTATACAAAAGCATAAGATGAAATATGCATATGGTATGTGCCAGACATTTCCAAGAGTACTGATATGAATACACTTAACAGTATGTCAGTCCCTCACCTTTGGGCTCCATTTCCATGCTACTCTAAATTCTAGGGATTTTAAGCCCAAAGCAGTTTATGGCAGGGGTTGTGTTTTGGGAGGCTGGTGAAGGCACCTTCCATTTGTGCAGTCCCTGGACGTTGTCATTCAGGCTCCTGCTGGCAGAAAGGAGCTTTGGTTTTACACACACAACGCCACTCCTTCCTTCCCTAGTGAGTTTAGACCCAACTTTTTCAATCTCCTCATGGATAGTCCTCTTTTCTGGTGCATTGGCAATGAAATCCCAGGACTGATTTCAGCTAGAGACCTGTCACTGATAAGTGGGATTATGGCATTCCCTGCTTTATATCCAGTGCCTTTGGAGTTTTTCAAATGAGGTGGGGATGTGTTTTCCAGAGCTCTCTAAGGTGTGTGTGCAGCATGGTGGCTCTACTAGTTCTTGGAGCAATCACAGCTAGGAGCTGTCACTTGAAATGCACTGCTCTAAAGTTTTGAATAAATAATTGGTGTGTGAATCCTGCATCCTCAGCTGACCTAGATGTGGTAGATCTAATTATGTCAAGGCTGCACTTGTAAATGCTGCTTTTTTTGCCTTTTTTTTTTTTTTCCCAATATATTTATTCTATTTCTTTTTGATTGACCAGGGCAGAAAAAGTGATTTTGCCAGGTTTTTCTGTGTTTTTATAGGGTTGCAAGGGGTCTGATCCTTTCTCTTCTAACATAGAAAAATCCTGGTTTTATTTTACAGAAACTATGAACAACTTATGTAAAAATGGAAAAACAGCTCTTCACTTGTTCAAGAAAACCAGCACTGTTATACAGAAGACAATGAATGAATCCTTTTTTCTGCATCCTCGTAAAATATGTGAGCTTTGCTGACCTCAAATCACTCTTAGTTTAGGAGCTGTGAAAAACTATTCCTAAACTTCCCACTGAAGCTGTACCAACTTGCAGAATGATACAGAGCTCTTTTGGCTACTGATGGGGCATACTGCTGATTCCATGTCCATAAAATCTGGAGAGAATTCAGGGCACACAGACTGGTTTCCCTTCAGCCAAGATGGAAAAGCCTGAATTCATTTCTCCAGATTGGAAGATTAAGAGGTGCTTAGCTGCCCAGATTGCATCCCCAATTCTATGCACAAAATTGGCCCTTACTATATTTATATAATTTTGAAACAGAGAGAAATTAATGCAGTCTCTAAAATATTGTCTGTTAGGGATACAATAGAAGAGGAGTTCTATACAATTTGGGAAATTAACACATTTGGAAATGAGTGTGACATGCTAATCATAAAACAAATTCAGGAAAAGTTGTATTCCTTCAGTGAGTATGCTATTCACATCCAGCTCATATGGGCACTATTTTGGTACAATCCATAAAAAGCAGGAGCACTTCTCCATAGTGGCAAAGTCCATATTTGAGACATGGATGATGTTATTTTTTAAAGTGGTGCCTACTCACAATGGCCTGTTCACTGTTATGTTTCTATGGTGAATTTCTTTCTGGTTTCAGGAAAATTTGAGCCCCTTTACACATTGCCAGCTTTTAAAGGAAAGGCAAAACTTCCCCTTCGGTGTAATTAATATGTTTTTATTACTTGTGGTACAAATAAGAGGGGTGTCCCATGATGTTAATGGAAACAGGGAGTTCTCTTAACTCTGCTTCAACCACTTGTAGAGGTTTTCTCCTCCAGCCCTCCACTGTGCTTTTGCAGGCAGCAGTGACCACAGTATCCATCTGTGTTGGATTTTAATGAGAGAGCAATGAAGAATACAGAAAAAAACCCTGAATTAATAAAAAATTGATCAGGTGTCAGTTCTTAGGCTAATTCAGGTGGTGAGGGACCTCAGGAGGTCACCTCAGTCAGTCTCCAGCCCAAGCTGTTCTGTCAGTGTTTATAAGACTTCTTATTTCAGCACTCTAAAGTTCTGAACCTGGTTCTAACTCTACATTCACTGAAGCTGTGGGGATCTGGGTCCATTTTAGTAGTTAGCATTTCTTAAATGTCTGTCCAATCTGCCTGTGAAGGTTGCATTCAATTCCCTGTAACCTTTGAAGAGTTTTTATTTGGTATAGATACAGCAAAGACAGACTTGTCTTCTCACTCAGCTCTGAAAGCTTTCATTTTGTTTGACAACATTTATACTGAGCTTGGCTCATTCTCTCACAAGGAGAAAGTATGCAAACTTTACATAGAAGTGGGCAGAAAATTTGGCTACACTTGTTTGCTATAGCAAACACCAACTCACAGAAAGGCAAACATTATACTGATTTTGTTCAAACTTGGAGAAAACATGTCTGGTGCCCAGTATGGAATTTTGGATCAAAATGACAAAGGAAAATGCAGAAGCAACTGCAGTTTGAGACCCAGAGTATTTATATGGATGCTGCCTATTTGCATTTCTCATCATGTTTTATTGTTTACTCCCACCATCTCTCTCTCAGCCCTATGAATCATACTTTCTCCAGGTGTAACACTTTTGAAATGTCAAATTTTTGTGGCTTGAAAGAAAAAAAAAAAAACCTCATCATTTCAATCTGTACCACATCTAGATGTGAAACCTCATCTTTCATGGGCTGAAGTCCTGCTTCCAGAGAAGCAGCATGTGGCTGGGCTGGTTTGATGACCCTGTGCCATCCCTGGAATACAGTGGAGGAGACTGCTTAGAACATTTTGTGCCACTCTGGAGTGAATTCCTCAGCCAGGCTCTGCTCTGACACATTTCCATCCATCCCCTGCAATGCATGTGGCAGCAGTATTCCATCTGTTTCTAATGAGGCATAGCGGGGGAGGAAATCTTATGCATAAACATCTCCCACATCACTTATGATTCCATTGAAGAACATCTCTGCAACAGTATTTGTTTGTGACAAAGATTTTTAGCTATTTGTTTATTTTAATACCTGTGGATGTCAAACAGAAGATATTAGCCAGTTCCTAAACCTGGCAAATTCCTTGGGTGAAATTTTTCCTGTATTTTGAGAGCCAATTCCAGCACAAATTCTTGTTGTAAAGGTCTTGCCCATATTTTCCAAAGTATAGATTATAATTTTGCATGTACCTGTTCTATTTTAGGGGTTAGGCAGTTGTAGCTAGATTTAACTCTAAACAAAGAGCAAACTGTTCTTTATTTAGCTCCAATTATAAACATGTTATAGCAAAATATAAATGGAGAGCGAAACAAAGGAATGAAAACTGCCACTTTGCAGAGGCATTCTTTTAAAATGTACATTTCTTTGTAGGGAAGAGCACTGCAGTGTTTTTTTTTAGAGACAAATAGTTTACTGTGATGTGTATGAAATAGAATTTTGATAGACAGAATAAGCTGCAATCCAGTTCTAAACTATAGATTTTCAAGCAGATTGATGCAACAAATTGTTAGCAAATAGCAGTTTGCAATTTGATGCTAATTAGACATAAGGCAAATATGTGCCATGACAAATTAGCAGCAAACCATACTGAAAAGGATTAGCAAGAGCTGGCACAGAGACTGCTCGATTTTGCATACTTCCTTGTCTTAGTCTAGGAGGTCTGAGCCAGTTTTCCTTCTCTGTAAATAAGAAACCAGAGCAGAGATCACAGGCATGCTAGAATGCCTTTAATTGCATATTTGAAATGTTTTAACTCTCTCTTAATCCCATGGAGGCTTTTCTCCATACCACCAGCTTTATTATCCTGGGAGATGATCAAGTACTTTATCCATTTAATATTATAACTAAATACATTATGAGGTAAGTAACTCACAGGGTTATTTACTTTAGCAAGTCTATTGTACTTATAGATTTAAGAAAAAGCCCCATTCTTATTCAAAACACCTTTGCTTAATGTCCTGAAAACGTGTTTTTCAGCAGATTTAATTATTCATTTCCTTAATAAATTTATTTTTGCTAGAGAATTATCACATTTCTTTATTAATGTGCACAATGCCATTGTAGTAGTTAGTGTGGATCAAACTCATCACCATATCCAGACGAGATAATGCAGTTTTGTTTTCAAACCAGAGAGAAGCAGGAGGTGATTTTTAAGTCAGTTCTTCAGACTTACACCTGAATACCAGCACACCTATAAGTATGACTTTAGAACTAAAGCAAAAACTACTCTTGAATCTTTGAAGGGTGATGTAATTTCACTAGGATCAAGAATGCTAAGGAAAAATCACAGTAAAAATACCTGTTTGTTAAATTTAAGCAGCTTATTTTTTATGTGCCTATTTTTTTGTTTACTTTTTTAAAATTAAGAGTTTCTGAGGTAAACCATCACATTCCCTAAGCTTTCTACTCATATTTACTGGTGTGTACTTCAGTTTGGCTATGTAAAATGACATGTTTATACTTCAAGGAATCATTGGGTAGATCAGAGGTTCTTCAGTACAGTTCCTCATTCAAATCTGACTTTCTAGGGCATACAAGACATTTGACTTACTAGGCTGATGGTTGTTGTCTAAAATTATATATATATATTATATTCCCAGCATTCCTATGTCTATATATGGATCAAAAAGATTGTTAGAAATAGTTCAAAGGTGCTAAAACATTATGTAGTTAGATGTAAACACACATTTCTGTTACCAAAATAAATGAAGTGGGAAAATAAAAGCATATTATGCATAAAAGATTGTTCTTTCATAAGTCTTAGAGAGAATTCCTCAGACAATTTAAACCACAATCAGTAACAAGTTTTGCCACATCACTGTCTTCCCACACAAACAGTATGATAATACACTATTAATGATTTACAAAAAGGTGATGAAAGTAGTTGTGCTGTTTAAAAAGAAAAAAGTGAAAACTCCAGGCTTTCCCTGCAGTTTCTGAAGGGATCTCTATATTATTCACATGAAAAGCACTGTCCTGTAAAAGCTTCTGTGTGCACTGAGGCCTGGAAAAGATGTTTCTGGTGTTGCCAGGCTGTCTCACTCAGTGTTTGCCTGCTCCCTTTTGCCAATGTTTTTGCCACATCACATCAGAAATTTGGGCAATGATCTTTATGCTGGTGCAAAATCTTAGAAAACTGAATTGACTGCCCTCTGGGCACAAAGCTTTATTTCCTTTTTGCTGTCCCTGCACAGACTCATGGTGAATTCTTGGTAAGCAGTTATTTACCTGTATTGAAAGAGTGTAGCAAGCCATCAGCAGGTAAATATAGGCTGAAAATTGTAATAGTTAAAAGGGATGTTGTTAAAAATTTTAGGATTACATGCAACATATAAATAGTTGTAATTTCCAAAGGGCAAATCATTTCTAGTCAAGCCTTTCCACATGGTATCTTCCCTGACAAAAGCATCACACATTTTCTGCCCATAATGTTTCTCCCAAACACCCCCACTGCTCAATTCAATGACAGCTTTCCTGGCAGTGCCTGAGCAGATTTTACATTTTCCTGTAGATGCAGTGTCAGCCCAGATAGTGCCTGGGAGAGCTTTGCTGCTCGTGGCTGCTGTGGCAAATCTTTGTGCTGCAGGACAGATGTTCTGCACCGTGCAGGGGATCTGGGTCATGCAGCACCCACAGACTTGGAGCAAGTTGGATGTTGGGAATCTCCACTGGCCACAGCCACCTCCCAGTTCCAGGCCTTTTCACCAGCTGTAAGTAGGGTGTTGCTTTGGTTTTTTTGGGGATTGGGCTTGAATTCTTCTGTTCTGGCTTCTCCCACGTGGCTCTTGGGGAATACAAAGCACTTGTGGATTTTTTGAATGTAGATTTGTTTATAGATAAGAAGAAAAAGATAAAAATCATGGGGCAGGAAATAAATACTTGATGAAAATGAAACCTAATTTCTTAAACTGTGCAACACAAACACACAAAAAGTGCCCATAATAAGGGAAGCAGTGATTTTGTGGGTTTGTGCAGATTATTTCATTTGGCTTTAGAAAAGATAGGAGACGTTAAGTTAGAGCAAATTCATCCTGATAAAGCACACATATTTTTTGACAAATGTATTATCTCTTTAGATCATGGGATTAATAAGATACATTGTCCTCAGGAAAATATGTGCACTCATGGAGAACCTCATTGACATTGCTGCAGAGAGGTGAGTTCAAAAGGCCAGATATTAAAAACAGCTTTTTGAGGACATGAAGACAATTTTTTTACTTGAAACCATAGAAGTTTGCATTTTTATCACTTATAGTGGGCGGCTGTACACTTACCTAAGCTATGTGCATGTTTATTTGTGTAAAGATACATATGCATGAAAAATGCAGATGTGCTACAAATTTGACCTTCCAAGTCCTGTCTGTTTCTGTTGCACCTGGGGATGGGAATCAGAGGATGGTTGTGGCTGGAGGGGATCTGTGAAGATCATTGAGTCCATCCCCCTGCCAAGGCAGGGTCACCTGGAGCAGGTGACACAGGACCATGTCCAGGTGGGTTTGGGGCATCTCCAGAGAGGGGGACGCCCCAAACTCCTGAGCAGCTGGTCCAGGGCTCTGCCAGCCTCAAAGTAAATGCTGATGTGTGCTTAACTGTGCTAAGAATAACTTTGACAGTTTTACTTAAAAATCATTTAAGTTATTCTTATCAATATTATTTGTAATTACAATGGAGATGGTATGATAGAATCTGGCACTTCTCCCAGACATTAAAATATTTAGGGTTGCATGGGGATTCTGGAATGCTCATAATAATCATGAAACATTTATTGTCTTTATCTGCATATCTGCATCAATGAATAAAGACAGGAGAATCTTAAAAAAAAACAACAAAAAAAACCCCAAAATATTATCCTGCTGTAATTTGTAGTTGCTTTCTTTTATCTGTTTAAGATGCTTGAATTCACTTTGTTAGTAAATTTCTCTTGACAAGCACACCTATTTATTATTACTAAGCATCCTTTTTAGGAATGTCTGAAATGACACATGTATTGTTTTAAATAAGATCATAGAGTTAATTTTTAACCACACAAGCAATGTAGTAAGAATGGAGTGAACAAAGCATAATTAATAGTTTTATGCCATTCGTCAGGATCATTTTATTTGCTGCCAGCATATGCCAAATGAAAATATTTTTACTTCAATTAAAATTTTTAAACAAGATTAAACTTGTTGTCGTTGAAATCATAGAACATATATGCTTGTAGGTATTGTGTGCATTCCTCAATGCATGTCTTTAAGCAAGGAAATGTCACTGGGACAGGAGAGGTGTGTGAGAACTTCACCACTCTGCAGAGGAGAAGGCAACAGCTGTTTCTGCATTCCCCCATTTACAGTGGCACAACTTCCCTCTGGTCTCAAATACATATTTCATTCTCCTCTGGATAAAGAAGTGAAAAAAATAACTCTTAAACCCCTTAAAAGAAATAGCACCGCACCGCATCTATATTTTGTGTTTTTATAGAAAAAATTATTATGCCACAGTATATTAGGTGCATGAGGAAAAAATTTTATACTTCTCTGTTTGTGCTTTTTTTTTTTTCTTGCTTAGGGCTTTATTATTACTACTATTATTATTATTATTATTAATAATAATAATTTGGGTTGGGTTTTTTTTTTAAGAAATTACATAATATTTCACTGTATTATTGCTGCCTCACTAGACAGGATCTCATGACTGCCAGGGACCCAGCTGTCTTGCTGAGTTACTGTCACAGCAAAGGATATTTTAAACACCAAAGACCTGTTTCATCCTGAATTTGTGGCTGGTCAGAGTTTGAGTTTGGGTACCAGTGCCACCTCAGCAGTTTGAAACCAAGAGCATGACCTACAGGAAATAAAGCAGTACATATTGTCAAACTCCTGCTTAGTAAAACACTTAAGTGCTTATTTAACTTTAAACATGCCTGAACCATATTAATTCCTTATTAATTGCCGATTTGTTAATTTTAGTGGATTTACTAAATGGAAGACTCAAGAAATGCAAAGCCCCCATAGGATGACAGGACTGAGGAAGATCCATACTGAATATCTGAGCTAGTTCCCCCAAGGGCTCACAGCTCCCTGTTTACTTAGGCACACACCAACATGCAGATTTCCTGCCTCGTGTACTGCAGAGCATGGGGAAAATCCCAGATTATTTGCTACCAAATTGGCACCTTTGATGTGATACTGTGCAGAACCATCCAAAAACAATTAATGCCCTGAACGAGGCCCACTCTAATGGGGCTGTCTCAGTGCAAAGCTTCACCATGGTCCATCAAGAAACAGTGCTGGTAGTGCTACCAAAGATTGCAATGGTTTTAAGAGTTTGGAACAGAGATTGTGTTGCTTAATTCTGAAACTGATGGTTGGATAGCAGCAGATAGTAGAGTCTTCTGCAAATGCATGGTATTTTGAAATGAGCTTAAATAACTGTATGGGACTGAGCCACAGAGCAGCATTGTAAACGGTAGATATGCAGTGAGGCCTTCAACTTACACTTTTCTAGCTGTCAATTTAGCTTTTGTTTTTTGTTCCATTTCTAGAACAGAAAATCTTCATCAATTTCTGAATTTAGGTTCAGCAGAAATGGGGAGAAAAGATATCTGGATTTAAAACTCTAGCAACAAAAATAACAATTTAAAAATACTTCTAAGAGGGCACATATAGTAAGAATGGGGAAATCACCATAAATTATACCTCTCAGGTTACTAGAAATATTTTTATTTGCTGAGGAAAGGACAGTTACAGGGAAAAAAAAAAACAGCTTAATGAAATGCATTTGTACCTTTGGAAAAACAACAGAGAATGGAGAACTGGCCAGTGATCAGCATAGGTACAAGTTAAAAGGGCTCCCAGAGACCCAGGATTAACAGTGATGTAGTCAGTATATTTATTGGATTTATTTGCATTGTAAAGACTCAAGTGAAGGTGTGTATGGAATGCAAAATAAAAGGCAAAAATATACACGACAATTTTTGCTTAGTCAAGTCCACATCAACCTTGAGGAATTCTGGAGATGTAACAGATTTAGGCAATTAGGGAGCAGAAATCCAAATATACTCACTTTTGACAAATTTCCTACAATGTAATTTTTGTGGAATTATTTGTAGTATTCATAACCATTGACTGAATTATAAATTAGCTACAATGACTTGATAGAAAGAGCTTCAGTGCAATTCAGATCCTACTGAAGTCTGGGAGTTTTGCCTTTTCTTGCAGAGGGGATGGAGTTTCCCCATGATCATCATTACTGCAGACAGCTCAATAGAAAAGGCTGCTCAGTTCACAGCGGTGGTCTGAGCAGCCAGCAAAATGGTTGGGTGAATAAAGAATGGCTTGGAAAATAATACTGCAAATATTATGATACCTATCAGTGATATCCTCTTGCCTTGAATACACTGCTGAATTCATACCCTTTTGCTTGAAAATTTACATCATAAACAGAAAGAGTAAAGTAATAGTAATAAAAAGTGTCCAGAAGCATAGAGAATTTTATGTGCAAAGAGTAAAAATAGAGGGGTTTATGCTAAGTGAATGAGAAGATAAGCAAGGTTTTGAGAAGATAAGGTTTTGTAGGAAAGGAATGATTTACACAAGGTAAATCTGATTTCTTTCTTGACTTTGTCCCATACTGCAAACAGAGAAGTGTGCCAACAAATTGAAAATTGATAAGGAGGAGGTTTTGATGGTATGCAGGATAGGACTTAGAGCTGAAGGAAGTCTTTGAAGTGAAAAGTCTGGCAGGATTAGAAAACAAAACTGGACATCCATGTTTGTAAGGCAGGTCTCAGAGATGCAGTGCAATAAAGTAGGAAAGCATGAGCCAATACTTATCATTTGACAGCATTTTGTCTCCCATCAGGATAGTGATGATTTTAGGGTGTTTTTTAGTTTTTTTTTGGTTTTTTTTTTTTGTTTTGTTTTGTTTTTTCCACAAATCCTGGAGCCTGTTTGCCACAGGGGTGGGATGCTGAATTAGGCCACACACTCGTGTGATTTGTGTGACTTCCCCCCCACAGCACCTGGGGCTGTCACGGGGGTGCAGTTTAGGGTAGGGAGTTGGGCTGCTCAGAGTCCCCAGGTGTCACAGGCTGGCTCTGCCCTCCTGCTCTCCAGAGCTAAGGAGCTCTGGGGAAGTCTTCTGCTCAAGGAGGATTCTCTTCTCCCCATCAGAGCTCAGGGAACCTTTAGCCTTTGATGGAAAGTAGGATTTACACTTACATATTTGTCTTTTATCTTGGGACAATAAATATAGTCCCAAAGTAAAGACTACAGACTCTTCTGGTAGATAGCTTCAGTCTCTAAATGTCCTATTTCAGCTTTTCTAGTAAAACACATTCTGATTTGATCAATGCTTGTGCCACACAACGTAGTAGGAGTGAATTCACAACGTCCAGATGTTGTCAGTGTGTAAGTTTGGGGTTTTTAAATATTTTTTCAATGAGAGTTTCTGGCTTTTTTTTTTTATTTCTTTTTTTTTTTTCCCTGCAGTACAGTTTTGTATAAAAACCAGTAGAAATAGCTAGAAATACTTAGTGATTAGGGTAGTGCACAGCTGAAGCATTACCAGTGGAGTTGCTTGCTCACTGATTTGTTGCCAGGTAGCCAGCCAATTAGCAGTGCTGGTTATTATTTACTTTTCATGCTATATATCACTAAAATTGTGCTGTTGATTTATCATTTATATTGTTGTATTGTCAGCATAATTTATTCAGATCATGCTGAGATACCTGGGAAATTAAGTAATAAAGAGAATGGCATAGAATGTGTCTGTATTCAGAGATATTTACTTTGCTTTTAATGAGAATGCATGTTCAGGTAAAACATAGATCATTTAGCTATTAAATTGTTTTTTAAATAAACCTGTTAAAAGTTTTTTTTTTCTATAAATAAAAAGGCTTGGTTTCAATTCTAATCTGTTTTTTACCATTAAATAAGAAATTTTTACAGATTACGTTGAATAGCAGACCAAGTAATTGTGCCAACTTAGTTGATTTATGATTTGCAAGAAGCTGTATTAGTTGAGGTTTTACTGAGGTATCCATTGTTCATTGCTATTACTTCAATATTGGGGTTTTTTTTGCAAATACAAACATTGATTTTTTTATTTGAAAACTCTTCCTAATTGCTTGAATTATTAAAAAAAATTGAAGGCCAGTATTTTACAAGAAATGAA